CCTCGCGAGCGGTCACCAAACATTTCTGCCTCCTGCAGAGGATTCTAAAAATTCTTATCAAGAAGCTCTGCTGAAGAGATGGAGAGTGAACAGAAGGAAAATGACTTTGCCGTCGAGGATTACATCATCGCAGCCGCTGCCGGCTCGCAGTCGTTCAACTTTGAAGGCCCAGCTGATCGTCCACTGATGGAGCTGCAGAATGTGCTCATTTCGAACACCCCTCTACAATCGTCTTCGGCGTCGTCGTCGTCATCATCGTCCACTTCGACTTTTACCAACATCATCAACTTTTCACCGTTCACCAATTTAAAGGCGTACATCTTCAAGTTCTCTAATCCAGCTGTAACACTGCTGCCGGCGAACCAGAGCAACGTTGGCCCCTTCAGCCTGCTGCCTGATGAGCTTCTGCTCAAGGTTCTAAAGAAGCTGGACGTAGAGGACCTGGGCGCCGTCAGCCTGACCAACAGCAATCTCAACAAGTTTATCGTTGGCAACTTTCTGCTCAGCAAATCGGGCGTCAACTTTCTGATCCGCGCCAGCCAGTTTGACCCGTCGGCCAATCGAGATCGGCTTTTTGAGCTGTTCTCGTCAATCGGTGGGTAGACCACTGCTACTGCTGTAAACAAACGACAGTCTAACCGTTTCTATTTGGCAGGAAATTTTATCAAGCGGGCTACATTTCTCTATCAAACCACTGAACGTATCACCATTCTGCTCACGGTGATGGAGCACTCCTATGGAATGGTCAATCTCGCCACCTTTGAAGTCTACAGCGTCTCAAACGTGAAACTCATCTTCAAGTTTTACGGCCATATGATGAACCAACTGATCCTAGGCTGGACGCATTTTGAAAGCGACAAACTCTACAAGCAGCTGAAGGGTAATTTGATGTTGGACAATTACCAATTACTTTCATTTGTAAACTTTATTTCATAGAGTCATTCAAGATCGACGGCCTGGTGGTTCGCTTCCTGAAGAGCTCCCTGGGCTCGAAGCAGAAGCACGAGCTGCTGATTCGCTTCTTCTACCGAATGATCTGCAACAGCGCCGGAAGCGAGTGCTTCACGGAGAAGCTGCGCTGGATCAGCGACCAGCACAAGGCGCTCACCCTGGAGAAGGTGGCCCGCCTCTTCATCGTCATCTTTGGGCCGATCATCTCGGCGAGTGATGTTGACTTCTTGCAGCTGCATTCGCAGACGTCGCCGCCGCCGCTGCCCTTCATTCCCTGGTGGGACCTGACCGACTCGCACTTTGTCAAGTTCGGCTTTGAAGACCTCGGCCTGGTGCTGCAGGTGTACTACAGCCGGGCCAGCGAGGAGAGCTGCTGGAGCAAGAACTGTAAGAAGTGTTGTTTTTTGCGCTTATGTTCATCATATTAATGCCATTATTTGACAGTCGTCGTAGACCTGCTGGACCGCATCACCACCACGCCCTCATGGTGGACGTCACTGAACGTGGCCATGCTGCTCTATCACGGGGGCGAGAGGCTGGCGCAGAAGTTCATCACCAAGAAGCTCGCCGAGTCCTTTGACCACGCCGTCGAGTACCTGGGCTACCTGGTGGTGGTGACGTGCAAGCGCCAGGAGGGAGGCATCGGCAGAGGAAACGGAGATCCGGGGGACTTGAAGGCGGTCGTCGCCGTGCTGGAGGAGCTCGCCGATCACTACGGCCGCCCTCTCATCGAGGCCTTTGTGGAGTTCTTCAGCACACTGGAGCACCAGCTGGAGCACCTGGAGGAGGAGGACGAGGAGGAGGCGGAGAACACGGTCACCCTCGCCGACGTGAAGGTCACCGTGCTGCAGCTGATGCGAATGCAGATGCTGCGCGTACACAGCGTCAAGAAGTACCAGTGACGGGGATGATGCCCCCTTTTTCTTTCAATTACTTCTTTCGTTACATCACACACACTGCTGTGTGTGTTATCATCTCCATTTTCTCTCAAGACTCTGTTCAAGTTTCTGTTTTCACCCCTACCCCTTCTATTCCACTGTTTCATCGACCACGACTTGAAGACCACAACTGAAGACGATCTTCACCACCACCACTACCACCACCACTGAGTTTCATCTCCACCCCCTCTTTTATTACCAATCACACATTATCTTATTTTCTTTAATTTCACTACCGTTTCATTTCTACACACAGATCTCATCTTCAGAAGACTGCTGGGGTCATAATAAAGACTAAAGAATCACTACTTTTTGTTCAACAGCCGTCCCTGTCCCTGCTGCTGAAGGCTGATGTTCCGCTCGTACAGCTGGTGGCGAGGCGGTCGGCTGTGTCCGACGAGCAGCGAAGTTGACGACGAGGAGCTGAGGGAGGCGGTGGAGGAGCCGGTGGCGCCGTTGGCGCAGCCATTCGAGCCGATGAAGCTGCCGTTGACGGCGGTGCCGTAGTACGTCGGCTTGTAGTCGGCGGAGAGGAGGAAGGCGGGCTGGTAGCGACTGTAGAAACGGACGTAGACGTACAGGCCGAGGAAGAGGGACACCAGGCCGAAGGTGAGCATGACGCCGGTGAAGGAGAGGAGGAGGAAGGCGTCGCTGGGCACTGGAGGGGAGGTGGTAAAAGAAAGAAGATGTTGGAAATTGTTGTTCGAAATGGAATGGAAGTTGAGAAGAAGCAGGGACTTACTGTCGAAGCAGGAGAGCTCATCGGTGGCACACTGCGCCACCGAGTCGCAGGCAAAGTGCCCGTGGATGCACTCGTTCAGGCCGCAGCCGACGTAGTTCTCCGGGCAGCGCTTGATGATGATCGGCGGTAAAGGTGATGAAGATGGCTTCTGTTTTCCTTCGGCCTCTTTCGCTTCGATTTCTATTTCGGCACCACCCTCTTTTCTGCTCAGGAGCTGGGCTGATGAGGACTTGAGGACGACGTGCGGCGACTGCTGCTGCTGTTGTGGAGGCTGTTCCTGGACCGTCAAAGACTGCTTCCGCACGACGGGTGTCACACTGAGGTAGAAGGGCTTGCTGCCGAACATGGCCAACTTCAGCAGCCGTCCCTGGACGTCGGTGATGCTGAGGACGACCTCGGGCGAGGCGGAGACGCCCGCGGCGGGTGCCGTCGGTGAGCGAGCTGTGTAGGGCAGCAACTTGAAGTCGGTCGAGCCCGTCCAGAGGATGAAGGCGGTGCAGTTCTCAAGAGGAAGTTTATCAGTGACGGGGACGTTGAAGTTCACCTTGAGCGACTCGTTGGGCTCCGCCAGCGACAGGTTGCGGCCGCAGAGCTCGGTGAAGGGCTCTGGAAAAACGGGTAAGTTTTGAGAGGTTTTAGAAACCGTTTCTAATGTCTTTGTTTACAGAAGTGTACTTACTTTCAATGACAAAGGCATCGCTGCTGACAAAGAACATCAAAATGGAGGTGACAAAGAGGAGGAAGAAGTGCCCGGACTTCATCATCGCCATGGACTTCATTTTCGGTGCAAATCGAATCCGTTTCTTCTTCAGGAAGGTAATAGTAAACTCTCTGGAAAAAGCCGTGCTGCTGCAGCAATGCAATGCGAGTAATCTCGGCTGAGGGGAAATCTGAGTCGTACTCGTGATCGCTACCATAACACACTACCATATCATCATCATCATCATCACCACCACCACCACCGCTGCCAATGCTCACACTCACACACTGAAGTGCAAAGTTCAGTCTTTGATTGTTCGTCTCCTCAGTGAGCATTGCATCCACTGCAGCACCCACTGCTGCATTGCTGCTATCACCGAGGAGACGAAATGCTCATGCCATTAAAATTGGAAAGATATCTTCACTGCAGTGGTGGTAGCCTTTTCGTTCAAAGTTCACCTTCCAGCTTACTGCCTGCTCATTGAATTCAGCTAAACTGTGAATTGTGAAGCTAACTGTTGTGAAAAAAAAGTAGAACAGACCCGCATCACCAAGATCATGACCACCACCACCATCATCATCGTCATCAGATCTGCTAGAAGAATGGATGATGATTGGCCCACTTGTTTGAGTGACTTACCAGACTGAGGCAGATCAAAGCGGCCTGCTGCCAAACAAAACAGAACAAAACCAAACACAAACAAGATGAACCTTCTCTCGCTTATCCTCCTGGCGCTTTCCTCCGGTATTAATGTCCACCAGAATTACCACTGGACATCGGAGAACTTGGTAAGAGAGAAGAGTAGTGGTGTTTGCTTTTCGAACACCTGAACTTATGTGAACGATTTTTGTAGGAGTTGGGTGTCCACGTTTCGATTGAGAAGCCGCCGCCGCCGTTTAAGTGGCAACATGAACTACCTCCACCACCACCTTTCCTTCAGCAATGGAGGACGACAGCTAAGGTGAAGAAAGAAGAGGAAGTTTCAACAACTTCTTCAGTAGTTGAGGCCCTTCGAGGCTCAACTGTAGACCTCCTTGCAAAGTACCACCTCTCCACTCGATACCCCGATTACGGTATTGAAGAGGTTTTGGCGCCCAATGTTTTGGAGCAACATCAGCAACAGGAGCAGCTTGCACAAGAGCCCGAAGACCCTGCGTTTAATCGCAATAGTAGCAGTACAAAGAGCGGTGAATAAAAAGTGTAATTACAAATTCCTCTTCAGGCTTTTCCATCCTTTGAAGGCGGCGTTCCTAATCCCATTCACTCTCTTCTATTTCTTGGCCTTCTTCTTCTCCTGCTCCTCCTCCTTCTCCTTCTCGATCAGCGTCACGAACTTGTCGATCTCCTCGTGGGCGAGGACGCGCATACGCTTGCCCTTCTCCATCACCGTCACCTCGAGGTTCTTGCCCTGGACCACCTCGAGGAGGGCCTTGATGGCCAGCTTGATGGTCGCCTCGTTGCTGGCCGTCGCCTCCTCGCTGTAGTTCTTCTCGAGGAACTCCAGCACCGACTTGTTGTTGCGCCCGGTGGCGTTGGCCTTCCAGCTGTGGTAGACGCCTAAAGGTTTTATGGGGGTTATCATTAAATAGAACAGTGTTGTTGTTGTCATTGAGAGTGGCTCAACACTTACCCGAGGGGTCAGTCTGAAAGAGACGCGGCGTGCCGTCGTCGTCGAAGCCGGCGATGAGGATGGCGATGCCAAATGGTCGGCGGCCATTCGACTGCGTGTACTTCTGCTTCAGCTGGGCAATGTAGCGGGTGATGTACTCGATGGTGACCTTGTCCTCCACCGTCAGCCGGTGCGACTGGCACTCGACGCGGGCGCGGTCGATGAGGATGCGGGCGTCGGCGGTGAGGCCGGCGAAGGCCATCATCACGTGCTCATCGAGGAGGCAGATCTTCCGCACCGTCCGGTCCTCCTGCAGCTTCCCGACGCTCTTCTTCTCCACCGCCAGCACGACGATCTCCTTGCCGCGGACACCCACCTAGGGGAGGAGAAAGAAGTGTCAGAGACTTTGAAGGACTACTTCCCCAAATCGAAGCTCTCTACTTACCGCCGTGGAGCCCTTCTTCACGGCCTCCTGCGCGTACTCCACCTGAAAGAGGTGGCCATCCGGCGAGAAGACGGTAATCGCACGATCGTAGCTCATCTTCTTTAATGGGTGAAGCTGTTTTTAATGTTGTTGTCAGGAAAGAGGGTGATGGTGATGATCTTCTCTTGAAGCTTTTGAAGTTCAGCAGCAGCAACAAATCAACAATGCGGCAAATGACTAAACAGAAAAACACCGATGACAGCAGAAAGACAGTGTTGTCGTGTTCAGAAAAGGGGCGCCACTGCAGCGGCTGCACCAGCGGTGGCCCGTCCGCTGAGTATAGGACAGCGGTTTGATTTTTGCTTTGCTCTTTTCGAACCAGCAAGATCTTCTAGACGAAAATACCACCGGGTTTAGGAACAAAACTCCTGAAACGCCTACCACCATCATCATCATTGAAGGTACTTTGACAGCAAGGATCATCAGCAAGAATTTTATTTTTATTTGTGAGGAAAGATAGAGCAACAAGAACAACAACGACAACGCAGTTCAAGCAGGCAATGCAAGAGAGAAAAACAAGGCAAGAGACAAAGCAAGAGAAAAGACAAGACAAGAGCGGTAAGTAGAAGAAGAGTACAGGTAGGTAGGTAGGTAAGTAGATAGACTTTGATCGGTGATAGAAAACTACTACTGATGTAATAGCGATAGAAAAGATTGACAGATAGATAGAGAGGTGTGTGTGTGTTTGTGTGGAGGATGAGTGATAAATAAATAAAATGTGATGAAAAGATGAAGATGTTTGGTCCAGAAGAAGGCGAGATCAGTCAGGCGGCGGTCCAAGGTTGTGGTTCGATTTTGAAGGGGTTTCCGTTTCCAAAGGTTTTCTCTAATCAGGCGTTTCTTCTTCNAAGGTGTGTGTGTGTTTGTGTGGAGGATGAGTGATAAATAAATAAAATGTGATGAAAAGATGAAGATGTTTAGTCCAGAAGAAGGCGAGATCAGTCAGGCGGCGGTCCTAGGTTGTGGTTCGATTTCGAAGGGGTTTCCGTTTCCAAAAGTTTTCTCTAATCAGGCGTTTCTTCTTCTTTTTAGATGTAGAGTATCGTCGGACGGCCTGCAGGTCGAACCGGTCGTCGGTGGCCGTCCCAGTGGCGGCTGAGTGGTGATCCGCTGATCCTCTTTGAGTTACCCTGATAAGCTTCGTAGTCGTTGAGTGAGGCGTATCGCTTGAAGAGCAGCGGCTTTCGCACATTGGTCTCCCGCTTGAAGATCAGCGGTCGGCGGACGTTGGTCTCCCGGGGCTCGCGCTCGTTGATCAACGTTCCAGCGCCGCCTAGGCCGCTGCTGAGTCCACTTGAGCCTCGAAGTCCACTTCCGCCGCCGCCGCCGGAGCCACCGAGCCAGTCCTCGTCTCGTTTAGAGCGAGCATCGCCAAAGGCGTCCTCCTCCTCAAGGTCGAACATCTGCGAGCGCTCGAGGCCGTTGCCGAAGGAGGCGGCGGAGACGAGGCAGCTGGGCTGCTGGCTGCCGAGCACCAGGACCAGCACGAGGACCAGCGCCAGGCTGAGGGTGAAAGCGGTTTTTGAAGACATCTTTTTCCTGAAGATTTTTCTGTTGTTGAAGATAGTATAAACTTGAAGATTGAAGGTAAAATGATGATGGTGGTGGTAATCAAAGAGAAGGTGATCGCGAGAACAAAAGAAGGCAAATCGAATGGTCGAAACTAATAATAGAGATTGCTGCTGCTGCTGTTCGTTCGTTCGTTGAAGGCTAGTCTGCACTACTCTTCGATGGCCGACGATGGTCGCGCTTTTATAGCCAGTCGAGGTGGTGGCCACTGCTCATGAACATGGCAACTGTGCAGCAATTGCAGCAGCAGCAGCAGCAGCAGTTACTATTCCGATTGCTAATGGCGGCGATAATAATGGCTCCTGCCAGGCTTGGAATGAATGAATGCCACCGGTGAGGGCAAAGGGATATCCACTTTGCCTGGTCGGTCTACTGTCTATCACCGAACCAAGGCAGCAGACACTCCTCCTCTTTCATTACGATCGTTCCTCTTTTTTTTGCTGAATTCTATTTTTCTACTTTGCTCCTCTTTCATCCTCTTCCTGTCCTGTCTGCTGTACACTCTGTTGCTGTACAGTGTCATCTCAAGATCGTACACAGTCTGCTGCTGTTGTTCTGTTGCTGTTGTTCAGTTTCAGTTTCGGCAGAAGGTCGCCTCTCTCTTTTTTTCGACTAAACAGAAGCACAATACGAACAACAACGAAGAGACAATTCAGCGCAAACAGCAGCAGCAGCAACAAAAAAGTTAGTGTCTACATTCAGGCATACAAAAACAGCAGCAGCGACAGACAAACAAAAGGACTTGTGTACAAGAGCAGAAAAGCAGCCACTTCCGAGCTGTGTTCTGTTCAGTTTGTTTTCGGAGAACTGCTGCTGCTGCTGCTGTTGCCGGAGACAACTTGGTAATTAGCACCATTGATCGCCAGAAGAAGAAAAAGGAGAAAAGAATTATCATCAGGGCAGGTATCTCTCTCTTTCAGTCTGTCAGCTCTGACTGCCGCCGATCATCGCTCATCAGCTCTTCCTTTCTTCTTTGCTCAAACCTTCCCACCTACTACTTCTAAGCTGTATGTTCTGGCCCACATTGTACGCCCAGACAGACTGTTCACAGAGTGGACTGTACAACTGCAGTACAAATGGTTTTTCGTTGCTGCTGCTGTACAGCGGCAAAACTTTGTACAGCAGAACTTGTTTGCTCTAATTCGCGCCCTGCTGCTGCTGCTGCTGTGACGATAAAGCTTTAGCTCTCTCATACAGAATTTGTTTGTCAGTATGTCAGGAAATTAATTACGAGAGAGGTGATAGTGAGTTAATGCAATGGAGCGCATTAATGAATGAGGAGGAGGAGGAGGAGGCAGGAAGTGTGTGCCTGTCTATCTATCTATCTCCTCTTCTCAAATCCGCCCCATCCAGTCCAGTACACTATCGGTCATTGTCAACTGCACTTACAAAAAATGTGTGGGCAAAGTATAACTCGTGTAGAGTACCTCGTGAACTCGAATCGGAACCAATAGAACACACACACACAATGGAAATTAGAAATTGGAGTTGCATTTCGATTGCAATCCAATCGACTAAACTATTGAGCTATTGAGGTATTAGTCATCGGGGTTACAGTGTTGGTCGATTATTTCACCGGTAAGCAGTGGGCTTAGTAGTAAAATTTCATCATCACCGGAATTTATTGTGTTTAGTGCTAGTCTTCGGGCAATATTTTACTGTATTGCCCGAAGACTAGCACGATTGCTATTGTAGTGGGCAGTGGAGTTGCACAGTGGCAGTGTTGCCACTACTCTCTGAACACTTTTTTGCCATTCTTCGCACTCTGACGACGACGACGTTTGTCGCTCAGTTCGTAATAAAAACAGTTCGTAATAAAAATAATGCTCTTTCTCCCTTTCCTTTTCTCTCTTTTCAGTAGCACATTTGTTGTCCTGCAGGTGCAATCGGCAATGGCCAGCCGGCCAGCCAGTCTGTCAATGGTAATGGGAAAATCCAAACTGTTCTGTGGTTGTGGCTGTGTCGGCGGTAGCATTTGGCCATTTAAAAACTGCACTGCAGACGATTGTGGCTCTGAAGAAGAACTGAAGAACGCATTTGTGGTTGATGTACCCATTCAACTACGACTCTCAAACGTGAGCTCGCTTTCTGAACTGTCTTTTTTTGTCTGTAATCAGACAACTAAAGTGCACAGGGACGAGATGGTCATAACACTGGAGACGATTTTAGTACAACAGTAGATTTAGGAGATGAAAATAGAAAAGGAGAAGTAGAACCAAGGGGAGAGATTAGAGAAGTATAATTCATTAGTCATCCCTGTTATGGTC